AGGATGGTTTCTTGGTGTATTTATTGCATGCATTCAGAAGCTGGTTGTTACCTTGACTGTTTTTACAGACAGGGAAAAGTTAACAAGCCTACAAGACGAAGGGCAAGGCTCTGCTTTCAGCAGGATAGAACAAACCGGCCCTTTTTCCTGCTTTTTATTACTCCAGCAGTCATAAGCTGCCCAGCAGACTTACCTCAGGTAACTGATGCTGATCAGGTGGATGTTCGGTCAGTTGTTTGTTTATGGCCAATGTCAATAATATCATTTTCCTGCATGCAGCCCATCCCCTACCAGGGATTCTTGTAGCCCATGAAAGCTAAGGTGATTGAAACCTAAGGTAAACCCCCCCCCGCCCCACCCCGCAGAAGGCTGTTCTGTCATAACAAAAATAGCAAAGGGTCTTGTGGCATTTTTCAAGAGCAATGAGTATTTTGCAGGATCCGCTCCAGCACTTCATCCGGGAGCTGCTCCATGTCCGCCGGGCTCTGCTTTTGCTTTTCCTGTGGGAGATGCGGGGATTCGGTTTTGCTTTCTGGTGGCCCCACAGCTCGTCAATCTCTATAGCAGAGGGATGAAGAAACAGGGCCAAGTTTGTAACTAGAACCTTTGGCCCTCTGTTGTCTTCCAAGATGGCCACTGAAGGCAAAGCAAGGTGTGGACTGCAGACCCAGGACAAGACAAGCCCCCCCCCCACGAGGTATCAGCTTGCAGTGTCTCCTGTCCCTGGAGCTCCCTGGTTTTGCACTGGGGGCCTGCCTGGAATCCACCATTCAGTTCTTTGCTTTATCGTGGCATTTGATTACAGCTTATTGCTTTATTGAGCCACTTCAGGGTGGCCATAGGTCACCCATGAAAGGCAGGCAGGCGGGCAGGGTGGGTCAGACTCTCGGATACCCGTCTCTGCAGAAGGCAGGCAGGAGAGGCCCACCAACTTCATTGCCTGCCTGCCCACCTTCAAGCATCCAGGGGACATTGGCTTGGCCACTATGGAAAACAGGCGGTGGAGGGCATGGACTTCGGGTCCAGTGCAGGAGGGGCCCCTTATTAAAAAAAACAGAACAGAACACACACACACCGCCGCTGCCCCAAGCATCTGCTTGCAATGTGTGGGCTGTGGTCAGCACCCCATTCCCTGCTTTCTGCTCCATGAGAGTGGATTCCTCTTCAGGAAAGTCCTCCTCTGAAGAAGTATTAAACCCATTGAGTGACTCCCTCAACAGCCCTGAACACAAGAGAGGAGCTTACCTTGTGCCTTATTCCTCTCTGCAAGTTTCTGGATGAAGTGCGTTTGGTGGGTCAACTGAATTTGAGTTAGGAAGTGGATGAGAGTTTCCGTCTCCCCCCTCCCCCCAGACCGCCCCCCCCCGTCCTTTCAGGTCCCTACTGAAGAGCAGAGGGAACGTGAAGGGAGTCTTCCTCAGGCCCCCAAACGCCCTTCTTTCCTAGGATTGGGCCCACCACCCAGGAGGCTTCCTTGCCCCCTCCTCCCCAGGTCCCATTCCCCCACTTCCGCCCCTCTTGCCTTGGGAATCTCCTGGCACCACCCTTGCCTCCAGGCAGAGCCCCAAGCCATTATTTTTGCATAAGCTGGCGGAAAGATTCAGGTCCTTTTACTCCCAGGAAGCCGCTCAGCAGAGCCATCACACAGGCAAGATAGTCCTCGTTGTTTGGGCTTTAATGATTAAATTCAGGCCTGAGGGGAAAGAAAGGGAGCAAAGGATCAACCCAATGGATGGGACTGGTGGGCCCTTAGGCGCCCCAGGTGCTTACCAAAGGGGGAGTTTTCCTCCCTCTCTCCCCCCCCACCCCCCCCCCCCCCCCTCCCCCCCCCCCCTTTTTCTTACCAAAGAGGCCGAGCTGGCTGCTAGAAATATATACCTAATGGCTTTGTTACACAGTTCAGCCGGAAGGCCGTGCTAGAAAGTGTGCAAGCTTTAGGGATCCGGAGTTCTCTTTCTCAGGCAAGACACGCCATCCTCAACTTTTCATTGCTCATCTCGGGACTTTGATCTCTCTTCATTCCCTCTCTCGGCTTCTGCTGGGATTTTTGCTTGCCTAGAGGATCAGAAGGCATCCGTGTTCAGAGGGGATGTTCGCCTCTGCATTACTCAACTCCATCGCTTTGAAGGACGCCAAGCACCGTGTTTAGTCCGACCTTTTGGAATGTGTGCGTTTGTGTGTTTGGAAACAATCAATGACTCACTGCTTGGTTAAGCAATTAAATCTTTGATCTTCACATAGCAGCAAATGTTAAGATATACTGTATATTAAAAAAAAACCCTCCGGTATCTTCCCTTGGATAATGGCTTGGGAGGGGGGAGGGGAGCAAGAGGGAGGCATCCTTCTCGCAGGTCAACAAGCCACCACCCCCACCACCCTCTCCAGAGGAGGACGTGGCTCTCCTCATCCCCCTCACCAGCTGATCTTAGCCACCTTTTTGGGGGGGGGGCTCAAAGGTCTGCCTGAAGTCTTCCCTCTGCGTGTTTCTTTGATCCTTTCCAGTCTTTTGTACACTCGCTCTCCTTAGCTTTCATTGTTAGCCCTGAAATCAGGGTTCAGTTTCTCCGGCGAAGACAACAGACCATCGTCTTGCCTTTTAAGAGGTGCCTTGGGTCCTTCGAAGGAGAAAGACGGTGCAAAAAATGTTTTAAACCAACAGGGGGGGGGGGAGGCAGGCGCCCTTCCTCCCTCCCTCCCTCCCTCATCCTCCGGTGCCGCTCGT